TCTCTGCCCCAGAGTGTGGTGGAGGCTCCTTCTTTGGAAGCTTTTAAACAGAGGCTGGATGGCCATCTGTCGGGGGTGATTTGAATGCAACATTCAAATCATGGATGGCCCATGAGGTCAGTTCCAACTCTTTGATTCTATGATTCTATGTATTATGCTATTATAGTATATTATGCTATGATGGTCTATGATATATTATTATGGTATATGTTAAGCTATGATGGCATATGATCTGCTATTACTTTGTTATGGTATATGATATGCTATTATGTGTGTGTCAAGAGTGAAATGCTCAAAGCACAATTGCAAACTGTGCCAACAAAGAGAAAAAATAGGTGCAGAGTGCAAAGAAGCCAGAATGGATGTCCAAAGAACTTCTAACTGTGCTAAAACACAAAAGAGACCTGCACAAGAAGTGGAAAAAGGGAGAAATCACCAAAGAAGAATTCAAACAAATAGCCAACACCTGTAGAGAAGTCATTTCGGAGTGAGAGCCGTTCAGCATGTTTGTATGCTATTATGGTATATGATATTATGCTATTATATGATATGCTCTTATATATTACCCTGTTATGGTATATCATATATCACAATATTATGGTATAGAATATGATACTACACTATTATGGCATATGCAATGTTATTATGCTATTATAGTATAGGATATGTTACAGTATATTACACTATTATGGTATATCTTATATTGTGGTATATGATATATTACGCTCTTATGGTACATTATATATTGCGCTGTTAAGGTATATGATATATTACACTATTATGGTATATAGTATGCTCTTATACTATTATGGTTTATGATATGACAAGATTATCATATATGATTTCAAAGAACCAAAGAACTTCTAACTGCGCTAAAACACAAAAAAAGACATGCACAAGAAATGGAAAAAGGGAGAAATCACCAAAGAAGAATTCAAACAAATAGCCAGCCAACACCTGTAGGGAAGTCATTTCGGAGTGAGAGCCGTTCAGCAGTGGAACTCTCTGCCCCGGAGTGTGGTGGAGGCTCCTTCTTTGGAAGCTTTTAAACAGAGGCTGGATGGCCATCTGTCAGGGGTGATTTGAATGCAATATTGAAATCATGGATGGCCCATGAGGTCTCTTCCAACTCTTTGATTCTATGATTCTATGTATTATGCTATTATGGTATATTATGCTATGATGGTATATGATACATTATTATGGTATATGATATATTAAGCTATTATGTGTGTGTCAAGAGTGAAATACTCAAGGCGCAATTGCAAACCGTGCCAACAAAGAGGAAAAAATAGGTGCAAAGTGCAAAGAAGCCAGAATGGATGTCCAAAGAACTTCTAACTGCGCTAAAACACAAAAAAGACATGCACAAGAAGTGGAAAAAGGGAGAAATCACTAAAGAAGAATTCAAACAAATAGTCAACACCTGTAGGGAAGTCATTGCTATTATGGTATATGGCGGTCTATGATATATTATTATGGTATAGGATATATTAAGTTATGATGGTATAGGATCTGCTATTACGCTATGATGGTATAGGATCTGCTATTATGTACTATGCTATTATGGTATAAGATACATTATGGTATAATTCGATCTGCGATGGGCTCCTGGGAGCTGTAGTTTCCCAAGACCCTTGTGTAATGTATTGGCAAATAACGTGTGCAGGTCCCAGTGGGATGACCTTTTTGGTGGTCATTTTGTCGGCGCTGATTGTTTTTAAGTGCGGGCCAAGGTCTTGAGGCGCTGCACCCAGTGTGCCTGGGAGCTGTAGTTTCCCAGGATCCGAAAGTCGAATGACACTGTGGAAAGGGTGCAGTTTGGCCCCTACTTTACGGCTCATATGCGTTCATTATTATTATTATTTTGCATGTGTTTCCTCCCCCACAGACATCCCAGTGTTTCTGATTCTCTTAATCACATATTTTACTTATTTGAAGGTGGCTTTCCTCTCGTTTGCTGATTGATAATCTGTTTGCATAACGGAGACAAAGGCCGCTGTGTTGCGGCCAAAAAAAGGAAGCCGTATTTCCATCCAGGTCTGAAGCCCGGCCTTTGTTTCGGGGTGCGATAAAGGCACACAATGCAAACCCACAAACACACCCGACGGTTTCGTTTGCAAAGATAAGCAGCTCAGTTTGAATACACAAAAAAATCCCATCTATTGCATCTATTGCAATGCCCACAATCCACGAGTTGCATTATTATTAATATTATTATATTATTATTATTAAATGTGTTTCCTCCCCCACAGACACCCCAGTGTTTCTGATTCTCTTAATCACATATTTTACTTATTATAGTTTATTTTATTTTTTATTTTATTTATTTTCTCTTATTTTTACATTATTACTATTATATTGCATGTGTTTCCTCCCCCACAGACATCCCAGTGTTTCTGATTCTCTTAATCACATATTTTACTTATTATATTTTATATCTTATATTTTTTATTTTACATATTCTATTCATTCTTTTATATATTATTATTACTATTATATTGCATGTGTTTCCTCCTCCATAGACATCCCAGTGTTTCCGATTCTCTTAATCATATATTTTAATAATTATATTTTATTTTATATATTATAATTTTTATTTTACATATTTTATTTTCTCTTATTTTTAACATTATTATTATTATTATTATTATTATTATATTGCATGTGTTTCCTCCCCCACAGACACCCCAGTGTTTCTGATTCTCTTAATCACATATTTTAATTATTATATTTTATTTTATATATTATAATTTTTATTTTACATATTTTATTTTTCTCTTATTCTTATTATTATTATTACTATTATATTGCATGTGTTTCCTCCTCCACAGACATCCCAGTGTTTCCGATTCTCTTAATCACATATTTTACTTATTATATTTTATTTTATATATTTAAAAAAATATTTTACATATTTTATTTTCTCTTATTTTTAACATTATTATTATTACTATTATATTGACGTGTTTCCTCCCCCACAGACATCCCAGTGTTTCTGATTCTCTTAATCACATATTTTACTTATATTTTATTTTATATATTATAGTTTGTTATTTTACATATTTTATTTATTTTCCCTTTTTACATTATTATTATTATTATTATTATTATTATTATTATATTGCATGCGTTTCCTCCCCCACAGACATCCCAGTGTTTCTGATTCTCTCCACTGGTCACTATACATTGCAATATGTTATCATTCCATCCATGATCTAATCGATATAATGTATTATAGTTATTTATATTGTATATTGTATTAGATTGAACACATTAGCAGGGCTCTTGGATGTGTTCATGGTGCCAATGGAGAGAGTAAGGAACACTGGGATGTCTGTGGTGGAGGAAACACATGAAATCTAGGATGGAATGGTCCCCGTATGAAGGCCTTCCCTTGGGTGGTGGGCAGTGTGGTGTTTGGGGAGGACATTAGCAGGGCTCTTGGACGTGTTCATGGTGCGAATGGAGAGAATAAGGAACACTGGGATGTCTGTGGTGGAGGAAACGCATGAAATCTAGGAATGAATTGTCCCCGTATGAAAGCCTTCCCTTGGGTGGTGGCCAGTGTAGTGTTTGGGGAGGACATTAGCAGGGCTCCTGGATGTGTTCATGGTGCCAATGGAGAGAGTAAGGAACACTGGGATGCCTGTGGTGGAGGAAACACATGAAATCTACAATGGAATTGTCCCCATATGAAAGCCTTCCCTTGGGTGGTGGGCAGTGTAGTGTTGGTGGAGGACACTGGCAGGGCTCTTGGACATGTTCATGGCACCAATTGAGAGAGTAAGGAACACTGGGATGTCTGTGGTGGAGGAAACGCATGAAATCTAGGATGGAATTGTCCCCGGATGAAAGCCTTCCCTTGGGTGGTGGGCAGTGTGGTGTTTGGGGAGGACATTAACAGGGCTCTTGGTGCCAATGGAGAGAGTTCATGGCGCCAATGGAGAGAGTAAGGAACACTAGGATGTCTGTGGTGGAGGAAACACATGGATTTAGGATGGAATTGTCCCTGTATGAAAGCTTTCCCTTGGGTGGTGGGCAGTGTGGTGTTTGGGGAGGACATTGGCAGGGCTCTTGGAGATGTTCATGGCACCAATGGAGGGAGTAAGGAACACTGGGATGCCTGTGGTGGAGGAAACACATGAAATCTAGGATGGAATGGTCACCATATGAAAGCCTTCCCTTGGGTGGTGGGCAGTATGGTGTCTGGGGAGGACATTAGCAGCGCTCTTCGACATGTTCCTGGTGTCCATGGAGAGAGTGAGGAACACTGGGATGTCTGTGCTGGAGGAAACACATAACATCTAGGATGGAATTGTCCCTGTATGAAAGCCTTCCCTTGGGTGGTGGACAGTGAGTTGCTTGTGGAGGACATTGGCAGGGCTCTTGGACATGTTCATGGTGCCAATGGAGAGAGTAAGGAACACTGGGATGTCTGTGGCGGAGGAAACACATGAAATCTAGGATGGAATGGTCCCCATATGTTTATGGTGCCAATGGAGAAAGTAAGGAACACTGGGATTATAGTGATAGGGGAATCGAATCTATACTTAGTAAATAAGACTATATTATTATATTTTATTATTTTACTATTATATTATTATTATTTTACTACTTTATATTATTATATAATATTTTTATTATATTTATTATGGTTTGTTATTTAGTAAAATAAAATAGTAGTTTTACCCTAGTTATTAATTGAATTATTAACTTACTACATAGAGTTTTATTATGACAAGCTTTGGTGTTTTGGTTTGGTATGGTGACATAAATGTATTTATCATTTATCATTAATATTGATCATTAATAGAAAGATCTGGGTTGGAATCCCTGCCTGGCCATAGAAATCCATGGAATGACCAAGTTGTATTCTCTCAGCCCTAGAAAACCCATTTGTAGGGTCCGCATTAAGTGAGAACGAATCCTGAAAGTGCGAGGGGGGCCCTCCGAAAGCCATCTAGCCTGACCCCCCCCCCCCCGGCGGGAGTTCCTACCTGGGGCAGTGGGCGATGAGAATGCGCAGGGAGGGGAAGTCCCCCTTGGCGGCGGCATAGTGGACGGGCAGGGCGCCCGTGTCCGTGGCCGCCAGCGGGTCACTGCCCCCAACGCGCAGGAGCCACTCGATGACCTCGTGGTGCCCGAAGCGGGAGGCCAGGTGCAGTGCTGTTGCCCCCGAGTGGTCTGTGTCCTGGGGGAGAGACAAGGAGAGAAGACTTTAAAATAAGAAGGTTCCGAAAAGTAGTAAAAAGAAATGCTTGTAAGAAAAGAAGGTTCCGAAAAGTAATAGAAATAAATGCTTGTATGAAAATAAGAAGGTTCCGAAAAGTAATAGAAACAAATGCTTGTAAGAAAATAAGGTGGTTCCGAAAAGTAATAGAAATAAATGCTTGTAAGAAAATAAGGTGGTTCCGAAAAGTAATAGAAATAAATGCTTGTAAGAAAATAAGAAGGTTCCAAAAAGTAGTAAAAATAAATGCTTGTAAGAAACTAAGGTGGTTCCGAAAAGTCATAAAAATAAATGCTTGTATGAAAATAAGAAGGTTCCGAAAAGTAATAGAAACAAATGCTTGTAAGAAAATAAGGTGGTTCCGAAAAGTAATAGAAATAAATGCTTGTAAGAAAATAAGAAGGTCCCGAAAAGTAATAAAAATAAATGCTTGTAAGAAAATAAGAAGGTTCCGAAAAGTAATAAAAATAAATGCTTGTAAGAAAATAAGAAGGTTCCGAAAAGTAATAGAAACAAATGCTTGTAAGAAAATAAGAAGGTTCCGAAAAGTAATAAATATAAATGCTTGTAAGAAAATAAGAAGGTTCTAAAAAGTAATAAAAATAAATGCTTGTAAGAAAATAAGAAGGTTCCGAAAAGTAATAAAAATAAATGCTTGTAAGAAAATAAGAAGGTTCCGAAAAGTAATAAAAATACATGCTTGTAAGAAAATAATGTGGTTCCGAAAAGTAATAGAAATAAATGCTTGTAAGAAAATAAGAAGGTTCTAAAAAGTAATAAAAATAAATGCTTGTAAGAAAATAAGGTTCCAAAAAGTAATAAAAATAAATGCTTGTAAGAAAATAAGAAGGTAATAAAAATAAATGTAAAATAAAAATAAATGTAATAAAAATAAATGTAAGAAAATAAGAAAATGATAAAAATAAATGCTTGTAAGAAAATAAGAAGGTTCTAAGGCAGTGTTTATCCAGACAGGAATCAACAGGAAGCAAAGACAATCCAAAAGGCTAAAATTCTCCACAGATACAAGACCCCATGAACAGGATTTCCATGGCACATGAACTTGATTTCCAAACATTGCCTGATCTAACAGGTTTCCCCTTGAAGCAAACCTTATATCCCAAAACTCAGAAACTAGTTTTGCTTTCCCCCACATTCACCCCTTATCCGACGAAGTATTTCAGAGTGACGTAAACACTGAGTTTGCTGTCTATCTCCAGCCGCCTATCCTTCAATTCCCTATCTGGCTGCTCATTAAAATTCCCAGGTGTCCAGATTGTTTTCCAAACCCAAATCTTGAGAGCTCACAGAGAGAGAGGGAGAGAACCATCATAGTAAATAGCCAGAAGAAATAAATGCTTGTAAGAAAATAAGAAGGTTCCGAAAATAGCATACCATAGCATAGATAGGTAGAGATAATATAGATAGGATAGATAGTTGGATTGATGGATGGACGGATGGATTGATAGAGAGGGGGGGATGGATGAATGGATAGATAGATGAATGCATAGATACATAGATAGATACGTAGATAAATACATACATACATGGATGGAGAGAGAGAGAGAGAGAGGATAGATGGATGAATAGATGGATGGATGGATGGATAAAGATAAGATAGATAAGATAGATAGATAGATGGATAGGTAGAAAGATAGATGGATGGATGGATGGATGGATTGATAGAGAGAGAGAGAGAGAAAGAGATGAATGGATAGATAGATGGATAGATATAGATAAATACATAGATGGATGGATGGGTGGAAAGATACACACACACAGAGGAGAGACATATAGATAGATAGGATAAAAAGATTCAGAGATAGATGGATGGATGGAGACAGAGAGATGAATGGATGGATACACAGATAGACAGATAGATACAGGGATGGATATACAGATAGACGGACGGATGGATGGATGGATGGATGGATGGATGGATGGATGGATGGATGGATGGATGGATGGACAGTCAGACATACAGATAGATAGACAGATAGAGGGATGGATGGATGGATGGATGGACAGATAGCTA